GTCCATGTCTGACTATGCCGAGTTAATTAAAGTTAGGCATACACGTGTATGGAGGGATCTCCCTCTTACTTCTTCCAAGATCTATGCTCAAGGACACTGAAACGAAGTGAAATGGAGAAATTAGAGGAACGTATAGTACTCATACTATGTAAGTTTGAAAAGATCTTTCCTCCAGCCTTCTTCGATGTGATGGTTCATTTGGCCATTCACTTGCCACGTGAGACTATTCTCGGAGGACCTGTGCAATATCGGTGGATGTACCCGATTGAAAGGTAATTTCTAAAATTGTACTTTCAAATGAAAGGTATAGATTATGTTGTGTGCCTAACCATACTCCTAATTGGTTATCCACTATCTGGCACGTGCATGGGGAACCCCGTGAATCAAACGAGGCTTATCATCATGATATACCCGTTGAGGGCAATGAGGTTTTGGGAGGTATTGATGCCTTAGTGGAAGATCGAATAAGAGGGGAATCAACTAATACAACTCAAGAGGAGGAGGTTCGCACTTTTGATAAATTATTGAATGATGCCAAACGTGAGGTGTACCCAGGTTGCACAAATTACACTTTGTTACAGTTTGTCATCGAGATACTTAATATGAAGGTAACAAACCATTGGAGTAATAAGTCAGTTGACATGATGCTAGAGTTTTTAACAAAACTTTTACCGAAGGATAATTTGGTTCCAAAGTCAACTTATGAAGCTAAAAAAATACTACGTGAATTGGGTTTGTCATACGAGCTCATTGATGCTTGTGTAAACGATTGTGTGCTCTTTTGGAAGGGGAATGCAACATTGGATAAATGTCCAAATTGTAAGGCTTCTAGATACAAGACAAATCATGGTAGAGGTAAGAAGATCTCTCGTAAGGTTCTTCGATACTTCCCGTTAACACCGAGATTGAAAAGGTTGTACATGTCGAGGAAGAGAGCCGAGGATATGAAATGGTTCAAGGAAAAACGTCTAGATGACGGTGTATTGAGGCATCCTGTACATAGTGATCAGTGGAAGGAATTCGATACACAGCATCCTGAATTTGCCTTGGAGCCTCGGAATGTGAGGCTAGGGTTGGCTACTGATGGTTTCAACCCTTTCGGAAATATGAATAACTCATATAGTTTGTGGCCTGTCGTACTCATTCCGTACAACTTGCCACCGTGGTTGGCTATGAAGGACCCATTTTTCATGCTATCATTACTTATTCCTGGTGAATCACAACTAGGAATTGATATTGATGTCTACATGAGACCTTTAGTGGAAGAATTGAATGAATTATGGAAAAATGGTACATTAACCTATGATGCCTCGACTGGTGAGACTTTCTGCATGCGTGCAGCTTTGCTGTGGACGATACATGATTGGCCCGCATTTGGTGACATTTTTGGATGGAGAACAAAGGGTCATTACTCTTGTTACACTTGCAATGATGAACCATATTTTAAATCTTTAAGAAGTAAGACTGCGTATAGTAACCATCGATGCTACTTGCCTGATGACCACCCAGAAAGGCGAAAGAGTAGAGCGTATAATGGCAAGCATGAAAAACGGAAGAGATCTTTTGTGATACCGATAGAAAAGATTGAAGAACAATTGGGCAGCGTGACGGGTGTCACATATGGAAAACATCCAAGCAATAGGAAAAGACCTCGTCAGAACCCAAACTGGACAAAGGTAAGCATCTTGTATGAGCTACCGTATTGGAAGAAAAGAAGGCTTCGACACAACATTGATGTCATGCATGTGGAGAAGAACTTTAGTGAAAATGTCTTTGGAACGATGTTGGGAATTGATGGGAAGAACAAGGATATAGATAAGACACGAATGGATTTAGAAGATATGAATCTAAGGAAAGAATTGTGGCTGACAACAAATCCCGATGGATCATATGTGAAGCCGCCAGCCAGCTTCTCATTGACCCCTAAAGAGAGAGAGGGTTTCTTTGAATTCTTGAAATCAGTCAAGTATCCAGATGGGTACACGGCAAACATTTCGAGATCAATGAATGCAAAAAATGATGGATTAACAGGATTGAAAAGCCACGACTGCCATGTACTTATACAACGGATTCTTCCTATTGGGATGCGTGGTTACGTAGATAAAGAGATCAGTACAACACTTTTTGAGTTAGGTAGCTTCTTCCAAGATCTATGCTCAAGGACACTGAAATGAAGTGAAATGGAGAAATTAGAGGAACGTATAGTACTCATACTATGTAAGTTTGAAAAGATCTTTCCTCCAGCCTTCTTCGATGTGATGGTTCATTTGGCCATTCACTTGCCACGTGAGACTATTCTCGGAGGACCTGTGCAATATCGGTGGATGTACCCGATTGAAAGGTAATTTCTAAAATTGTACTTTCAAATGAAAGGTATAGATTATGTTGTGTGCCTAACCATACTCCTAATTGGTTATCTTTTCAAGGTTTCTCGGAGCTTTGAAAAAGTTTGTCACCAATCGAGCTCGACCAGAAGGTTCTATTGCAGAGGCCTTGTCAAGGAGTGCATTACTTTTTGCTCAATGTATCTTGAAGGGATTGAAACCGTGCATAATCGAGATGCACGAAATGAAGATTATGGAGTCCGTCATGAAGGTTTGATAATACTCACCGAAACTGCTCGTCCTATTGGCCAAATCAGAAAGCATGTTGAGATGTCACAGGAACTTCGTGATATTGCTCATTGGTTCTTATTATACAATAGCCCTGAGATAGAGAAGTATCTTCAGTACGTGTTTCTTATAATTATATGTATTTTAACAATTTTCATGTTATTAGTCATTAATAATAGTAGTATTTCACACATTAACCAAAACTATTTGAGTAGGGAACACAAGAATTTGTTACAAATTCCCACTGGACAAGATGTAACTCAGATACAACAAAAGGAATTTTCGAAGTGGTTCAAAGAATATGTAAGTCATTTTTAATATTCACAATTGCCCAAACACTATTAGGCTTGTATAAAATATAAACATTACTAACATAATTCAACTGTTGCACATTGCATGTAGATGTAGATAAATAGATTGAGAGTTGATGAGGCACCAAAAGCAACCGAAGAATTTTGGTCATTAGCGAATGGTCCTAATTTACTAGTGAAAGAGTACTCGGGTTGTATAATCAATGGTGTAAGATTCCATACGAAGGAATTAGACAATCATCGTAAGAGTCAAAACAGTGGTGTGCTTACCGAAGGGGACTACAAGGGAGAGATGCACGAATTCTACGGTCACTTGTGCAATATTTGGGAATTTGAGTACATGTGTCAAAATAAAGTTGTTTTGTTTCAATGTGAATGGTACAACACCGGTAACACTGGTAGAAGTAGAACAGTACGAGCTGACACATATTGCACAAGCATCGATGTCACAAGCCGATGGTATCAATCTGACCCTTTTATCTTGCCTAGTCAAGCTAAGCTAGTGTTCTACCTAAATGACACCAAATGGGGGCAACCTTGGCAAGTCGTGCAACGGGTCCAACATAGAGGTGTGTTTGATGTGCCAGAGGTTGGTGATGGAGAACCACCAGATCAACCAGAATTTCATGATGCATTCTAACAAGAAAACATTAACTCAGTTGTCCCGATCAACATTGAAGATAATATTCGATTTCATAGGGATGATATTGAAACTGAGGTTATTTCAAATAAAACAAAGATAGATGGTAGAGATGACGAAGAAGATGAAGAACTTGGCATACTTGATGATGATATGGATCTTAATATGGAACCTGATATGGATTATCATATGTAGTTTTTGTTTTTTTTAGGTTTCTATATGGACATATGTTTTTAATGCATTACATGGTTATGCTATATTTTGTTGTGTCTCTTCAAGTAAAATTATGCTTTATATTTTATGTTTTATTTCAATTTATGCTTATTTAGTTACCAAAATGGCCAAAGGAGAGAAACAATGGATCAAACCAGGTTTTTTAGCGAAACAGAAGCGAACAGAGTATGAAATGGAAAGATATAAGACAATCAAGAAGAATAATAAGAAAATGGATGATCTACAATTGAAGCGTATAGCAGCTTCTTTGATGGGTTCTACTCAGCCTAATCGTGTTAATCAGAAGGGAAAGAACATTAGGGTAGATGATGATGACTACATACTGTCAGATCATGAGGATGACACTGATGCTGAGTCCTTTGAAAGTGTTGACGATGAGGTACTATATGTATGGCCATTCATTTTTTTTTATTATGTCACCGATAGCTATATATTTGTTAATGATGCTTTGTTAATACTATCTTTATATTTCCGTATACTTTACCGGATCAGATTACAAATATCAACAGTGGCCTTGATAGGTTTCCATATACATATCTTTACTTATCCATTTTTATGTATTTATTGTTTATGCTTTTGTATTATGTTTTTTAGGGCTTACCAATGCCACCAAAACGATTGGCGCAGTCATCTCTTCAACCTTTGCACGAGGCAATTGTTGTTCCAAATGGGGATTTACATGACAATGTGGATACCCAACACTCACAGCCACTTGATGTAGATATGGAGGCACGAAGGGAGGCAGCCCCCCAATCTAGTGTCAGTAAGATACTGAATTTTACTAAGCTAAAGAAATTCTCTGTTTTAATATAATTCTATGGTGCAAAAAATTTCAAGCAATTTGTTTCATAGGGATTGATTTTTTATTTTTTATTTTAGTTTTGGTCTCACTTTTAATTTTTTGTCATGTAACACACGAAGTTAACATCTCTATTGGAGATGCTCTTAGTTTTCAAGCATTCCTAGTTCTTTGAACAAAAACATTGAAGAAGGAGAAATTATTGGGTATAGAAAAGGGTATAGCATGACATTGTTAGGTGATAGTACTCGTCACCAATCATTAATTTCCACATTTCATACTATTACACAAACCATTAATGTAAATGGGATAAGCGATAAGCCCTGTCTTGTAAACCAAACCCAATCAAATAAGGCACCTCGTGACAATACTTTGGTACCCAATAATTGCACGTGAGAAAAATCAAAGAATTGACTTGGTAGATGAAACTCTCTTACTCTGCGTGATACCTAGATTTGAGTATTACGACTAAGCTAGGTAGTTGTTTCTTTCTCTATTTGGTTCATACAAATTTGAAAAAACAACAAAAACAAAAATAAAACCAAAAACAGAAAAAATTACAGTGGTAGAGGATTGAAAGCAAGAGATTATGGCTAGGAGTGGTAGAAGTCCTTCCAGACGTTCTGGAAACTCAAAGCAGGTTGTGATAAAGATGTGGCATCCGATCCATTGCCATTGTTGTTGCCATTGCAGGTTATGTTTAATGAAACAGATTGTTATCTACTTCTGCTGAAAGTGCAAGAATTTATTGAACTAGGGGAAAAATAAAAACACTTCATATTTGCTTCAAGTGTTGTTATGGGGAGGCTGACATTTTGGAGTTTCTGTTTTCTCACACAAACAAAAGCTTTACGTGGTTTCATGTTAAACATGATTTAATCAGAATTATGTCAATAAAAGGAACATGATTTAATCAGAATTTGTGGGTAAAGGCCAGTGGTGATGCAGTGTTTTTTTTTTTTAAAGGATTTTCTTTGTTTGGTAGCTGAGAATATGTAAGAAAGAGGGGAAATAGGAAAGAAAATAAAATGTTGTCCTTTTGTGCCATCATGCTACTGCGGTTTCTAAGATAGTGAAAACCTTTCCAATAGTTTCCATTGTGCTTAATTGGGTGAAAATATCAGTCTGGCTCTGTCTATGAAGTTGTGGAATTAGTAATTGAAGAATCTGAGGACCAAAATTTTGATTTCATTTCTTTGCTCATACTGAATTTTTTTCAGGAGAAATTGTTGGGCTTTTTACGTGAATTGCTTGTTGGGTTGCTTCGTTTGTGATGAGGATTTACCAGGTGGTAATGACTTAATGCACTTGAGGATTTTGCTAACTGAAGAACTGGACCTCGAAATTTTCCGGAATTTAATCTTTAATCATTGCCTTGCCTTTGTTGTACTACACTGTAATACATTTTTCCAAGTTGTAGTTTTTGTTCAAATGCTTAAATTTCGAACACTATTGTGATATGCTCAAATTTCATATTTGCTGTGTTGGATCCCAGATGGGAGTAGGCCTGTAAAATCTGGGTTATGTGAAATCTTAGGTTAAATTGTGTAGCCAAGCTTGCGATATTGGTTTAACAGCATAAAGGCCAGGGTATACCCTAGCATAAAGGTCCTCACTGGGGTAATCACAGCCAACCTTGAGCCCAAAAAAATTATGCAATTTGTGGGTAAAGAACACTTCATCACCACTGATGGAAGCACCCAAGGTACTGAAATTGTGGTGAGAGTAGCTGAACTACTTACCAAAATAGAGAAAGAAACTAGTGCTCTATAGGAGAAACAGAGAATGAGGCTAGTGAATAGAAAGCAATAGCAATACGGTAAAGAATCAGCAGCTGCAGCAACTGCAGAACAAAGTTGCAGCTGTATAGGAGACACTGAACAGAAACAAAGACAAGGGAAGAAATTGGCAGTAACAGAGAATAACGAAAAAGCTGACTGCAGAACAAAGCAGCAGCTGTATAGGAGAGACTGAACAGAAACAAAGAGTAGGGAAGAAATTGGCAGTAACAGAGAAGAACGAAAAAGATACAAATGTAAGAAAGAGTGAAGAAACAAGAAAATGGAATAGCAAATACAACTGTGAAAAAGAGAAAACAACTTGAGAAATGAAACGCATCAACTTGAGAGTAGGGAAGAAAGCTGCAGCTGTACCTGTGTGGCTGCTGCTAGTGCTGTTTGTGCAGGGCTTTTCTTGGGTTTATTTTCTAGTTTTGCTTGCTTTTTCTCTCTTGAGGGTTGTGCAAGTGTATTTTGTATTGTTTTTGGCTAGTCTATTGAATGTTCATAGCCCTTTTTTCCTCATGTGGCAAATGAACATTCTTTTGTGTGGTTTATTTTAGGATGATTCTCTTTATAGTTTATTTAGTTTAGTTTATCTGTTTGGTTTTGTTTCTCTTTTATAGCTCTAGTTTTTTTTGTTTGGTGTTGTAAGGCCTCGGGAATGCCCCTCGTATATCTATATATGTTATCATTTTATTTTATGACTTACTAAAAAAAAAAAATTATTTATATTGCTTTTATGATTTCGCTTTAATTAATTGCTAAGTAGTCTATGTTATGTCTTTAAAACAGTGCCTAGTAAACACCCTCGTGGCTTGACACGCGGGTTGAAGGTTCAAGCAATGGTTCAAAAAGATGGAAAGCTCAAAGTTCCCATACCACAGGAGTATCGTGCGCCAGTGGGGGATCATGCCTCTCAATTAGTCTCCAAAATTGGTGTTGAGGTCCGAACACACTTGCCAGACCTTAGCATTCGCAGGTGGAAACATGTCAACGAAGAAGTTATGGCACCTATGTTTCAGCATCTAATGGTAAAAGTTTTACATAATTGATTGAATTAATGTAATATAATTAATTATGACTTACAAGATTTGTGGTTGTTGCTAGGATCAATTTGACATGGAAGGTGACCCCACAAATGTTAGCAAAGCGGTGGCAACAAAGTGTAGACGGAGCTTGAGCAGCCACACCTACAGACTATGAAAAAAATACCTGAACCTTAAAAGTGCTAAGGGAGAGGAGTTTGCTAGAAGCCACCCACCGCCTGAATGTGACCTTGAGAAATGGAAAAACTTGATTGACAAGAAGTGGAATGATACCAATTGGCTGGTAAACTTTTCTTATGTTTATTTGTTGTTGACAATTACCTTGTCTTCCTAATATATATATTTTTCCATTGGAACTTGCTCCTTGTAGAAGCAATCAAATGCTAACATTGACAATAGAAATCAATTGAAGACGAAGCATAGGTGTGGGTCAAAATCTCTCCCAATTAGGGTACACGAGGCGGCGGGTCTTCTTTAATTTTTTTCACCTTTTTTTTTCAAAGATGATTTTATTACCATCATTCTTATTTAACTTACTAGTTGAACAAAAAAAATCAGACAATTGCAAATGGGGGCCAACTACCAGAGTTGCCATGTGTTTACAAATCTACACACTTTAATGATGTCACAAAGCAGTGGATTTCTCCGGAGTGCGAAGAGAATTATGTATGTATATTTACCTTTTGTATTAGGATGATTGCAATTTTAATTGTATCTTTATTCATTTTTCTATTTGTTTTTTTAAATGACAGGATAATATGATAAAGATCCAAGCTGAACATTGCTCCCAACCTGGTGTGGTTCCAATTACTCCAGAGGAGCTATCTATGAAGGTGCTAAAGCCAAGGTCGGGATATGTTAAAGGACTCGGGTTAAGGCGTTCCTTCTCTGTCAGGACTACCAGTGTTTCGACTGACAGTGACTATGTGAGGCGTCTAGAGATGGAAATACAAGAGCAAAAGGAGGAAATTCAGTCACAAAAAGAAGAAATTCAGTCACAAAAAGAGGAAATTACAGCACAGAAACGTGAAATTCAAGTACAAAAAGAGGAAATTCAAGCACAAAATAAAGAGATAGGGAAGATGAATGGGTCAATTGACGAGCATTTTGAGATCACATCAAGCATCATGGAGTTTCTTAAGAAGCAAGGTTTCAAAGGACAATTTAGAGGATGAGGTATCCCATGAACTCGTACATCGCCTTTTTGGTAAGTCTCGCTCATTTTATCATTTTATTTTTCTCATGTTGGTTAGTATATACTAGTTAAATTACAACAGTTTGACTACTTATTAACTAAGATTTAACAAGTTTGAAGATGTATTTAATGAAAATAGA